GCCCACCCTGGGGCCGGATGGGAGCCAGCGCCCCTAGAGGGTTAATAGCCCCACAAATGGGAGGCAGGGAATGGAGGGATCCCCCGAACCTTCCCCCAACTCATCCCCTGGCCCCCTCCACATCTTCCCCCCCCCAGCCTCACACGATCCCCAAATCTTTCGCCAAACTCACCCCAATTCTCCTGAACCTTCCCCCCAAACCCAACCCCCCCAAATTCATCCGATTCCCCTCCCAACCCCCACTCCTCTTCTCCGCAGCCCCACCCCGTTGGCTTTAGGGAGCAGTCCCGGGGCCAGGTCACAGGCTACTCTGTGTCGAAGCGTTTCAACTCCTGGGGTGATGGTGTCACCCCACCACCCCGCCCAGGGAGTGGGGTGCTGGGGGGCAGGGAGGGGTTGGGGAACAGAGCGGGTTTACACATGTCCTGAGCCGCTTCTCTTCCCACAGCCAGGGAGAGAACCCAGGAGTCCTGGCTCCCGGCCCCGCCCGCTCTAATCCACTAGCCCCCCCAGGCTGAGGGCTGTGTGTGTGGTCTGGGGGCGGGCGCTGTGTGTCCCCCTGGGGCTCGGGCGGGTTGGCGTAGCGGCAGAGTCCCGCAGGGGGGCAGTGGGAGTGGCGAAGACAAGACCAGACAGTGAAGCTGCCCTGAGAGAGGGCGGAAAACAGCTCCTGGGTGCTGACAGAGCATAACCCACCGAGAGAGCCGGTCACCGAGGGAGCTGTTCTGTGCCTCAGTTTCCCTATCTTAGGGTCTTTCCTCTCTTTAGGTTGTAACCGGGCGGGGCCTGTCTCTGGATCGCCCGGCGCCCCGATCTTGGTTCCGCGTCTCCGTGGGGCAGCCCCGGGGCTCACCCGGCCGGGACCCCCCGCCCCGATGGCGCCGGACGACGGCACCGACTGGCTCCTGGCGCTGCTCACCGAGATCCAGTTGGAGCAGTTTTACCACAAGATCCGGGACGAGTTACACGTCACCCGTCTGGGCCACTTCGACTACGTCAAACCCGCCGACCTCGACCACATCGGCATGGGGCGCCCCGGTGGGTGTAGGGGGGGCTAGCGGGGGCTGCGGGGCAGGAGGGAGGGGCACCGGCAGGGCTGGAGGTGGGGCAGGGCTGGGCTAGTGGGGGCTGCGGGGCGGGAGTGAGGGGCACCGGCAGGGCTGGGCTAGCGGGGGCTGCGGGGCGGGAGTGAGGGGGCACCGGCGAGGG